TGAGAGAAGCTGGGAACTATAGATTCAGGGGCAAGACCATCTGCAAACTGTTGGGCTGGGGCAGGGATTGGAAAGGTGGAAATTTGTTGCCATATAAAACAGAATGGAGTAGCCAAGCAAGGTAAAACATTACCACACGCTGCATAGCCGAGGGTTACAAATAAGCTGCACGTGGAAGTCCTTGTGGTTCATGAGGGCAGTGAGGTTTTGCAAGGGAGAGCTTAGAGTGATATAGGTGCAGTTTGGCTTGGGTAACCTTGCTTACACTCCAGCTGTCTACTTCGTTGTTTCCAGTGATCGTTGGGGAATGTGAGGTGAGAGTTTTGCTTTCGGTTAGGGGTTGACGAATGGAATGAAAAGTTTGAGACATTGTTCTTGGCTTCACATGGCAACAACGACCCTGCCCAAGGTTCCTCTGGAAAGTCTGAAGCCATAGCGTGTCTCTGGCACCATGTCCTCAGCCAGAGGAAGCAGGCAATTCATGACAATGCCAATGTTTGCACCAGTTGTAGCAGGAGGCAACATGACTTCGTGACAACCTCTCTTTGGAACCACTCCAAAATTTCTTGCTGTTGTAAGTTGCAATTTTTCATCAAATTCCTTTCCTATTATAGGCAATGAATATTAAACACAAATTGCCTGCCAAATGTCCCTTGCTGCTCATACATTAGAAATGATTCTGAGGTAACCCGCAAACAAACGTTTAGCAATGCAAATGCATAATTATGATGTATTTAAGATGTTCACTCGCGATATTCTATCATATCAGGTAGGTTTAATCTCAGACGGCTACCAAATTCTCTGCCAACCTGGTACATTTTAAGGAGTGGCTTAAAGGAGGAAAGTGAGGTAGACAGGCAGGGAGGTGTCTGAATGACAGGCTCCCAGAACAAGGTGCCTAGGCAAGTGAAGGTGGGGCAATTAAATTTGGAGATGCTCAAGGGGCGTGAATTAGAGAAGCACAGATATTTCAAAGGGTTGTGTTGCTGAGGGAGACAGCAATGACAGGGCAGTTGGGGGGATGATGGCATAGAGAGGCTTGAAAACAAGGATGGTGATGTTAAAATTGAGATATTGTTTGACCAAGAGTCAGTGTACATTAGTGAGCACAGGGGATTCTCCTGGTGAATTATCCATCAAGCTATTCAGTGTAGGTCTCTTGAGAAGATGGACAAACCGAGTTTTGGGTTTCTACAGCCTCAGGTGAGCCAAATGAAAAGATGCATTCATAGGTGTAACTTTTAATTCCAGTGGCTTTGTTCCTTCTCAAAGCAAGAGTCAGTTTGATGCATAGATTCACTAATACCTTAAAAGCAAAACTACCATTGCAAGTGACACAACAGTCTAGTGCTTGCTTACCAATTACATTCCTACAGTTTTTTCTAAAGGGAGGAGGCTATAATGACAGAAATCAGATCTTCCATGTGATATATGTACAAGAGGCACTTTCAAAGGCATATATCTTGATCAAAAGTTACTGCATAAAAAGTCCAGAGAGTTCACAAAACAACCAGCTGTTGTATTAAAATCTTTCCTTGTACAAATTGTTCTTTGTAATCTGCTCATTCAGAGCGAGAGTCCAGCTGAAGCTGTCTTATTTCTAGAAATCCCCGTGCATTCCCACAAGAAAAATGAGGGAGCTGAATAAGCAAATGTCAAGGCGCTTGCCAGTTTGGGAGCAGAGTGAATTATATTCCACGCTGACATAGTGAATAAGGCCATAAAACACAGGGGTGGGTGTCGGCCATTCAGCCCATCCAGTGCGCTCACCATTCAATGAGATCGTGGTTGATCTGATAATCCTCAACTCCACCTTCTTGTTTTCTCACCCATCACCCTTGATACCGTGACTGATTAAAAATCTTCAATCTCAGCCTTGAATATACTCAATGACAAATCTCAACAGCTCTCTGCAGTAAGAAAGAATTCACAGATTCATTGTTCTTCGAGAGAAGATATTCCTCCCAATCTCTGCTTTCAATGGACAACACCATATTCTGAGATGATGCCCTCTTACACTTTCCCAAAAGGGGAAACCACCTTTCCACACCTACTCTGTCACGTCTCCTTAGAATCTTGTATGTTTCAATGAGGCCTCCTCTTATTCTGAATTCCGATGAGTACAGACCCAACCTGATCAATCTCTCCTCATAACAAAGTCCCTCCATGCTCAACTTAGGTGAACGTTCCCTGGACTGCCACTAATGCCAGTATCCATCCTCATTGTTTGTAATTGTGAATGAAATCATTGCTTTTGGAAATACTGCAGTGATTTTTTGTAATTCACTCACAGAATCTGGGCATTACTGATCTAAATCCACTCGATATCGGGCACTGCCAGGGCTGCAAGCAATCTCACAAGGAAGACAGAAACGGATACCAGACTCATGCCATTTTTGGGCTTTTGGTTGGTGTGTGTGTGTGTGTGTGTGTGTGGAGAGAGAGACAGAGAGTGAGTGAGTCAGTGAGTGTGTGTATGGGCAGTGGTTGATTTGGAGGATAGGCAGGAGACACAAATTACCCTGGGATCATCAATTTGCAGTGCCAATGCAAACTGTCAGTTGTGTTAATAAATACAGTTTCTATCTACTTTATGTGTTAACACTACCATGCGTTTTTCTGTTGAGGATGTTGGATTCCTTATTCAATACAGATCTAAGGAAAATGTGTTACTATAGAAACCCTGTAAAATCATTAACCAATTTTCACTGTCACCTTTGACAATGAATCTTCTACCATGCAATCTTTCTCTCCTTCCACTGAGGCTAGCTTCAAATGCTTAACAAGAGAAACTTTAAGCTTTGCAGCAATTAATTTTAGTACAGTTACTGAGAATTTTATTCTAATTATTGTATATTACGTAGAAAAGGCAAAGTCACCATTGTCCCAATGGACCAGAGGGCTGCTCTCTCTCAGAGAGAGAGAGAGAGAGAGAGATGTCTGCTGGTGGCTTAATCTGAGGGTTACTATACCTCGGAAGAGGAGAGGTTGAGATGGAAAGTTCTTTGTGGTGCGTGAATTGAACACGTTCTCTGCATCATAAACCAGCCATCCAGCCAACTGAGCTAACCGATCCCCATGTTCTCTATGAAGGCCAACGCTGTGGGTGGGATTGTGGCTGGGATTGGGTGGGTTACAAAGTATAAAGGTACGCACAGCTGTTACTGTTTCTACAGTGTCCAGGAACTGGGGCATCCATGTGTGATGAACATGTTTAAAATCAGCTCCTACAGAGAGTTAGAAGCCCAATTGGGGCTGTGTGGGTCACAGTGGGGTGAGGGCTATCAGTTCCACAACATTTCAGCATTTAATGCTGAAAGGGCCCTATCTCACCCCATTCCTAGCCCTTCAACAAGCCCCTTAAGCCTCCTCTAGTCTCAAACTCCGGCATTCCCTCTCTTGAAAGCGATGGGGAATTTTCGGACTCCCACTGATGGAATAAACAGTTGTAAGACATTCACAGGAGAGTTAATAAACAACATTCCAATCGTATAAGGAGATGTATGAGCAGATAGCTCTATGCTTGACCAAGAAGTAAGGTTCAAAGGAGCATCTTAAATAAGGAATCTGGGTGTTCAGGTCCACTGTACCCTGAAGGTGGCAACGCAGGTCGATACAGTGGTCAAGGCGGCATACGGCACGCTTTCATTCATCGGACAGGGTATTGAGTACAAGAGTTGGCAGGTCATGTTACAGTTGTATAGGACTTTGGTTTGACCACGTTTGGAATACTGCGTACAGTTCTGGTCGCCACATTACCAAAAGGATGTGGATGCTTTGGAGAGGGTGCAGAGGAGGTTCACCAGGATGTTGCCTGGTATGGAGGGCGCTAGCTATGAAGAGAGGTTGAGTAGATTAGGATTATTTACATTAGAAAGACGGAGGTTGAGGGGGGAACCTGATTGAGGTCTACAAAATCATGAGAGATATAGACAGGGTGGATAGCAAGAAGCTTTTTCCCAGAGTGGGGGACTCAATTACCAGGTGTCACGATTTCAAGGTGAGAGGGGAAAAGTTTAAGGGAGATATGCGTGGAAAGTTCTTTATGTTGAGGGTGGTGGGTGCCTGGAATGCATTGCCAGCAGAGCTGGTAGAGGCGAGCAAGATAGCGTCATTTAAGCTGTATCTAGACAGATACATGAATGGGCAGGGAGCAGTGGGATACAGATCCTTGGAAAATAGGTGACAGGTTTAGATAGAGGATCTGGATCGGCGCAGGCTTGGAGGGCCGAAGGGCCTGTTCCTGTGCTGTAATTTTCTTTGTTCTTTGTTCTTTTTTGAATGCTGTAGCAAAGCGAAGTGGATTTGGGAGGGAATTAGAGAGATTGGGGAAAATGCAAGAGGATGGAGAAATTTGGAGATCTCAGAGGGTGGTAAAGCCAGATGAGGTGCAGAGACATGCAGGGGTTCAAAATCGAGGATGAGAATTTTAAAACAGAGGCATTTCCAGACTAGGAGAAGGTCAGCCAGTGCAAGGGTGATGGATACATGGACCTTTCTACAAGTTAGGGTGCACACAGGCAGAGATTTGGTTGAGCTCAAAGTCACACGGTAAAGACCGAGAAAAGATGCACGATGAAGAGTTCAGAGACAGATTGGAGAGAGGAACTGCCTGCTCCAAATCAGAATGTGCCCTGCAGAAGAGATAACCAACTACTAAAAAGAAAATGTTAATTAGCAAAATGGATAAAAAGTTCTGCCATTTGCAAATTAGTTTGAGATCATGAACATGCTTCATTAGAGTCATAGAAGCATTTAGTTCACATTTTTTCAATCAACATCATGGTACCGTCCACCACATGTCTCTGTAGAAAAGCTAACAGTGGAACTGATCAAATATTAAGATGTGTCTGTGTATGTACCAAGTCCCAATCTGTGTAAATACTCAACTCTGTTGCAACCATTAGTTCATCATGAAGTTTGAGACTAAACGAGGTTTATTCAATCATAATGTCGATAAAGTTCATAAAAAGGGTCAGATGGAGAGAAGCAGGACTTACCGGGCCTGGTGACACACCGTACAGATCCAGGCCTTCTCTTTCTTACTGTATGCACCACAGTTCTTGCAGATGTTGAACTTGCAGTCAATACAAGGGCGCTTGGTGTTAATGAGGAAGGTGAATGGGCTACAACAGCGGATGCAGCAGTTCTCATTGAACTTCTCCTGCTTGGAAAGGATTGTGCGTTTGTTGCCTTCCTCGTTCAGTTTCTGCTTCAGTTCACTGAAAGACAGAAGTCACCGATTCCGACAGTTAGACAACAGCATCACACAAGTGTCCTCCCAATGGGTCTCTCTAATATTGCGGAATATTACATCTCACGGAAATAGAACCTTGGAAAAGGTTCTGTGGGTCACACAGCATTTATGCAGAAGTGAAGGTAAGGTGAATGTTTCAGGTCATCAATCATACTCTTGGTATTCCATTTATTTGGACTAATGGTTGCTAGTTTCTATGAGTGATTTGAATTTTTTTTTGTGTTTCTAACTTAAACCATGCAATGCAGTATCGCTGGAAAGTTATTCTGATCACATTTCATGGCCATTCTACCTTTTCAAAAGCTTGCCATTTTTGGGTTGTATCACTATTTTGTAGCTCCTAACAGTATAAAAAATGTTTTTTCTCTTTCAGAAATATACAAAGAATACAACAGAAACAGCAGGAGGCCACTTATCAACCAAACCCACTCACCCTTTCAATGAGATCATAGTTAATCTGTAATCTAACTCCCAATAGTCATCAATGCCCCACATTTCTTAATACTTACACTTTACAAAAATCTGTCAATCACAACCTTTAAGTGAACAAATAATCTCCATAAACTGTTGTTTGTGGAAGACAGTGTCAATCTTTCATTGTCATATCACTTGCTATCTACATCGATGGTGAACCTACAAAATTACCATTCACACAACAGCCTCATGTCAGTATTTCAATATAAAAGAATACATTAAAATGCACTTTGAAGCTGCTTTCTGATAGACAGATTCAGGCATTATGAAGCTCAATGCTTTTGGAATTCACCTTCAAACCTGTTATTGTTCCAATGATTAAAAGCAACAATGCAGATGAGTAAGGTCTCTCTTGTTGCTGCTTAGAAATACGTTCAGTAAGTTAAACCATTTCAAAAACATTGTGTGCTTTTTGCTTCTAAAGTTTTGACCGTTTAACACCGTAAAGTCTAATTGTTGTAAATCTGTTTGCAAATCAGAACACTCTTACCAGTGAATGATATTCACAGACTGGTGGGCAGATCCCTGAGAGAAGTCACACGACACCAGGTTATGGTCTAACAGATTTATTTGAAACTACAAGCTTTCAGTGCGATTTCAGATAAACCTGTCGGGCTATAACCTGGTGCCAAGTGACTTCTGACTTTATCCACCCCAGTCCAACACCGGCACCTCCACATCAAACATCCCTGTGAGGTTTCAACTGGGAGCCTATTGGCCCTCAACAGTAAATGTTATCGCCGTAAAGCCCAGAGTATTGCTCAATGTTGAGGCTGGTTGATCTGGGGAGGACTGGTATACTACAAGAGGGCTCTTACAGAGTCTTTTAATGTTTTCTTGGGGGAACGCAGTGAGTCAGTAGGATCATTTGCTTCCTCTGGGTCCTAACTGGGAGAGGGGGCATGAGGATACTGATCCATTATCCTTCTCGAAAGATGAGCTTCCAACTGCTAGAAATAGCGACATTCCCCCATAACGTTTCCCGAACCCCCACTGAGGGCTTTATGGTACTACCTCTGAAAACACCAAATTCTACCATAAAAGTTTGAATAGTAAATATATAAGAACGAGGGGCAGCAGTCAGAAATTCAGCCTCTTGAACCTGCTTCGTCATTTAATACTATCGTAGCTGATCTCATCTCAGACTCAACTCCACTTTACTGCCTGCTCCCCATTATCCTTCACCCCATTAATAATTAAAAATTTATCTCCTCCTTAAATTTACTCAATGTCCCGGCATCCATCGCACTCTGGGGTAGTGAGTTCCACACATTCGCATCCCTTTGAGAGAAATAATTTCTCCTCAGCTGTTTTAAATCTGTCACACTTTATGCTAAAACTATGATCTCCTACTTTAGATTTCCCAACAAGGGGGAAACTTCCTCTCTAGCTCTATGTTGTCAATGCCGTTTAGCATTGTACATACCACAATTAGATCTCTGATTCTTCTCAACTCCAAACAGTGTAGGCACAAATGGCTCAACCTTTCTTCATAAGACCAACATCTCATCTCAGGAATCAATCTAGTGAACCTATTCTGAGCTGCCTCATATACAACTAGGTCCTTCCTCAAGTAATAGAACCAAAACTATCCAAAACATCTGTAATAAATGCAAGATCAAATGTGCCACTTATATTTTAATTGCCATCCTTTTTCAATGCCAATTGTCCCAAATGATTCATACATTGTTACTTACGTACAGTTATTAGTTCAGTCACAGTTAGATCAACACAGATTTTAGTCTAAACCCCATTAATAGCTGAGACCTTGGAGCAAGGAATTGATTCAAACAGATGAAGATTGTAATCAGATGAGAATGGATTTGGATGTTGAACAAATATTGTTTTGTTGGAATTCTGCCATCTTTAAGAATCAATGGAACTGTGACCCAGTCCACAGTGTTGAGTGAGAAAACAGGATAAGATTTCACCACATTTCCATCACGCAAAAATTTAACATAAAGAATTAGGTTTTGGGTGACACTGAGAATTAGGTTCGAGGTCTTTGTGACTCAGAGCGATCAAGCGTTACTCTTGAGTAAAAGTTTCAAGCAGTGAAATTGATCAGCCAAAGTGTCATTGTAACTGCACCTGAACGTCTATCAATACACTTACATACTGGAATACTCATTTGTCCATTTTGACAGATAGGTTTTCACATAATAAGCGTTCCACAACTCAAATGGACACACCGTATATACACAATGGCTAGGAATACTGCAGCAAATAATTCACCTCCTGACTCCCCAAAGCCTGCCCACCATCTACAAGGCACAAGTCAGGAGTGTGATGGAATACTCCCCACTTGTCTGCATTGGTGCAGCTCCAACAACACTCAAGAAGGTCAACACTATCCAAGACAAAGCAACCTGTTTGATTAGTACCACAACCAAACATTCACTTCCTTCACCACTGATGCTCAGTAGCAGCAGTGTGTACTATCTACAAAATGCACGGCAGAAATTCACTGAAGATCCTTAGTCAGCACCTTCCAAATTTACAACCACTTACATCTAGGACAAGGGCAGCAGATAATATGGAAACATCACCCCCCACAAAGTCTCCTCCAAGTCACCCACCATCCTGACTTGGAAATATATCGCGGTTCCTTCACTGTCGCTGGGTCAAAATCCTGGAATTCCCTCCCTCGGGACATTGAGGGTCAACCCACAGCAGGTGGACTGCAGCGGTTCAAGAAGCCAGCTCACCACCACCTTCTCACGGGGCAACTAGGGACGGGCAAGAAATGGTGGCTCAGCCAGCAATGCCCACATTGCATGAGAGATTAAAGTAAAAACTTCCTCGCAATAGCAAAACAAACTAAACTCGATTAAAGGTCTGTGTTCTGTTCTTTGTTTTAGTCAGGTGCACTGATTGGTGGGTGAAAAGGCATTCAATAAAACATATTGAATCCTGGGCTTTATTCATAAAAGTGCAAGAGATGGGGGGTAATGCTGAACTCGTATAAGATGCTTGTTGGGCAGGAGTACTGTGTACAGATCAGAGTACCACGCTTCAGAGAGGATGGGAATGGATTAGAGACAGTGCAGAAGAAATTTATAAGAATGGTTCCAGGGATGAGAAACTTTGGTTAAAAGGAGAGGTTGGAGAGATTGGGACTTGAAACAAATGTTCAAACTCATGGAGAAGCTGGACAGAATAGACAGGGAGAAACTACTCCCGCTGGTAAAAGGATAGAGAATGAAAGGGTACAGATTGAAAGTCATTTACAAATTAAGCAAAATGCAATGTGACAAAAAACATTTTCTTATGACAAGTACTTAGGATCTTGGGTACAATGCCTAGAAGTGTTGTGGAGGCTGGTTTAATCAAGGCAATTAAGAGGGCGTTAGCTGATTCTTTCAATAGAAACAAAAGGGCAGGGTCATGGAAAAAAAGCAGGAATACACCATCAGCTCATGATGCTCATTTGGGGGGGATAGCACAGATGCAATGGGCCAAATTGCCTTCTTCCACACTAGTTTTGTAATTCTGTGATTTAGTCCTACACTCACCCTCAAGATGTGGAATAATGTTCCAGATTGACTTGCGGCTTTACCACACTGATGGTAATAACATGGAGTTGTTAGTTCAGATATATTTCTGAAGGACAGAGTTCATGCTAACAAACCTGGCCATTGCTCTATATTCAAACCTGCTGGCACCATGGCACTGAAAGTTCTTTTTCAGGCCTGTACTTGCTGCAGGGGGTAACCAGAGTTGCTTTTTTTATTCACTTGCAACATTGGAGTCTGACACCAGCGATCCCTGTTCCTGGGTAGACTTGCCAGCCCGAAAACCAAAGTGAAAACCAGGAACGCCGATCAAAAAGTTAACCCTCTGACCGTGTGCACCCACCACAAATGGTGCAAGAATATGCAAAAGGCAAGACTGAAAGACGTGAGAGAGATATGACAGCACACTCAATGAGGAGGCAATGGTCTAGTGGTATTATCACTGGACTATTAATCCAGCGATCCAAATAATGTTCTGGGGACACAGGTTCAAATCCTACCATGGCAGATAGTGGAATTTGAATTCGGTAAAATATCTGCAATTAAGAATCTAATGATGACAGTGAATCTATTGTCAATTGTCTGAAAAACCCATCTGGTTCACTAATGCCCTTTAGGTCAGGAAACTGCCATCCTTACTTGGTCTGGCCTCCATGTGACTCCAGACCCACAGCAATGTGTTTGACTCTTAACTGCACTCTGGGCAATTAGGGACGGGCAATAAATGCTGCCTAGCCAGCGATGCCCTCATCCCGTGAATGAATAAAGGGAAAAAAAATGTTAAACTTCATCGTCAGCAGTAAACCTGCCTAATGCAATCCCAACAGTGAGAATTTTTGGGTTTGAAAGAAGGAAGCTTCTCTTCCCGTGTGGGTCTCAGCGAGGATCATCTAGTCAAAGCACAAATACCTGAGCTCTCCAGGAACCTTCAGGAATTCAATTCACTCCCGTGTGATATTGAGAAACAGCTGCAGAC